GGCCTGCGAGGAGGGAGAACGGGGGTTCCACATAGGGTGACCGGCCAGGAGGAAATACATGTGGGCAGAGGCAGGGGGGGTTCAAGTATGCCCTCCCTTTTCTAATTAAAGCAAAAGAGGTCTCCGATTGTGAGGTCCACAGGACAGCAAAAGATGGATGGTACAGGTCTGAGTGAGGGAAGGAGCCCAAGGCTGGACAGTGACAAACAGCAGGCCTAGCTCTGTGGGGATTAATGACCTGAGCAGTGAGGAAGTCCAGGCCCTGACTCTTCCCATCTTCCCTAGAGGAGGCCTCTCCTCCTCCCTGGCTTCTGCTGGCCTTTTCTGAGAAGGGGAGGCATAACTTTATTGCGAGCGGCCTCTTGAGACCTGGGATTAAAGTGCAAAGGCTGCAAACCAGCACTCAGCAGCCACTTTGTGTCAGGAGCTGTTTCTCCAGAGTTGCACACATTAGGCCCTGATTGAAACACTTCTGCCTCTGTCCAGATGGTACAGTGAGTGCCATTTACTTAAATGACCTCCCATTAGTTAGAGAACCGCCAGACCACAAAAGATAGAGCAGAAATTGAGAACAGCCCCCATGTGCCTCTGTCCTCAGAGCTAAGGGGCCAAAAGCTGTGAAAGGAAACGGGGATTTCCTCATGTTACTCTATTGGGTCCCGGAAGCAACGGGGGCGAGAAGGATCCCCTGGGCACTGTGGCATTCTGCCCGGGGAGCCTGGTGCCCCTCACAGGATGCACATACCCCCACCACACCTGGCCAAGAACCCTGACCCCAGCACTGGCTCTCCAAAAGCCCTCATCTGGGCTGCTTGCCAGTCAGGTCCACGGAAGGACAGGAGGCTGCATCCAAACATCCCTGGGGCAGCCTTCCAAGACACACTGTGTCCCAAATGTAGACTGCCCTTTTTCAGAGCCTTTCCCAAGGGCATTAATTTCTTCTGTACCCTGTGCCTCGATACCCCCAGCCAGCCTCTCTCTGCCGCAGGATAAGCTGTAGACAAGAAGAGAGCCAGAGGGAGGGGATGATCCCAAAACACAACTTGCTTCCCCAAAGTCTGTCTGGGGCTCAAAATGAGGTCGTGCACGACTCGCAGGATAACTTACATTTGCTGAGTTCCAACCAGAACAAAGGTCGGAAGCTATACTGTCTGGGTGGCTGCAACTTGTCACTGTATTTTCTGATGCAGCTTTGCAAGCAGAAGCACAGACAGATGCGAAGGCCTGCAGATCCAGGGAGCCTTGGGGCCCCAAACTCTCCTGTCTGTGGGGTGGCTTTGGGCTCTAAAAGCTACGGGAGCGAGTCCTGGGCCAGCAGGGAGGAGGAGCCCAACCTCGGGACTGCACATGGGGGAGAGGAGCCAGGGGCAGCCCCCCTGCTGCCCAGGACTTCCTGTGTTGGCTGGGTCTGCGAACCAAGTTGAACAACCACAAGACCCTTGTTCTGTCTTCGCATTTCAGCATCTGTTTGGCCAAGCCACTGAAAAGCCTGGTATTTCAAGGGAAATAAAGAGGAAACATCTTCAGGCCGACTGGTACCTATTTCTCCCTCACCTTCCTGTGGTACAACAGATGAATGTCTCCAAACCTCTGGATCAAAACTTTTCCATTCCCATCCTCCATGCGAAACAGGAAAAGCCAGTCACAAAATCTGTCCCGTGGGACCCCACGTATACAACATTTCAATGTGAGCAAAGCTAAAATATTGCTCAGATACATGTAGGCTGATAAAACTATAAAGAAAAGTCAGGGCTGAAGGAACGGCAGGTAAGGAGCTTCCTCTGGGGTGCGGCAGGGGGGCACATTCTGATCGAGAGGCCTCGGAGGGGCTTCAGTGGAACTGGCCGGGGTCCTGCCTGGGGGCAGCTCCTCCGTCACCCGTTTTATCACTCTTTATGTTGAACGTGTTTCTGCACATGCATATCTGATGGGATTTCACCAGCAAATGTTTAAAGTCACACATAAAAGCTTCAAGTTCTTCTCTGCCCTCCAAATCCAAATAGTATAAACAAAACCAACCAAAACCACAGGGACTATAAAACACTAGTATCATTAAATGCCTGGTCACCGGCAACCGGGATGCCACCATGGCGACGCCTATGTCAGCCGTCAGGGGCGGAGAGGGTACCCCCCAGGCAGGGCAGCCCTTGCTGGGTCCAGGGAGGGGAACCCCTGCTTGGCGGCTCCCCTGCGCGGCCCAGAGGCACCAAGTCCGTGGTGTGATGCCAGTAGGGGGCCAGCCTGTGGGATGTGCTGGCCACATCCCAACCATATCTGCCCCCCTTCTCTGGGGCCAGTGCCGGTTCTGGGAAAGGAAAGACATGCGGAGGGGTGTTTAGAGCAGCTTGGGGTCCTCTTCTGCCCCTCCAGATGTGCCCCCCCCTTTCGGGGAGCCAAGCAGAGCCCCCGCAGTGCCCTGTCAGCTGTAATGTTAGTCACCCCGGCTCTGCAGCCCTCCCCCACGGCCGTGGGCTTCACTCCCCCTCCAGGAATGGAGTGAACTGCAACGGATGCAGAGACAGCAGCCTGGGCTGTGGGGACGCATATGTGTTTATTACGACACACGCTGAACACGCACCAGACCGCGCAGGCGCGGGGCGAGATCACAGCCCGCACTGCGGAGTCTCCACGTCACAGACAGCGCAACATGTGGCCGCGGGCCCAGCGCTGGGGTCGCCGCTGGGGTTGCCGCTGGCTGTGGCAACGACTTCCAAAGGACGGCGGCAAGTGTCCAGACTCCCATGGCGGCTGGCTCTTTGATCGTGCGCCACCTCGGCGGGGAAGGAACCAGATCCGCGTGAAACAAGATCACAGAAGTGAGGGCGCGCAGTGAGCGCTGCAGGGGCTCCGCCAGAACCGCCGCGGGGACTGCGGCCGACACTGCTGCTCCGGAGACTGAAGGCCACGGTGTGGGGGAGTTTGGTCCTGGGACTCCTTCCCCACACCCCACTCGCTTTGGCCCTGACAAGGTGAGCATCTCCTGACCCCTGCTGTTTCCTCCAGGGGCTTCAGTGCCACCTCACTGTGCTCCGTGGTCCCAGTGCCCCAGCAGGGGCCTCGCTCAGCATCCAGAAGACACACTTCCGGGACCCACACGTGAGAGCAGCCCCAGTGCCGCCCCTCCTGGGCCAGGGAATCCACACAGCTCAGCAGTGATGAGGAGAAAGTGGGGTATGTCTGCTCTAGCGTCAGCCCCCAGGGAAGCTGTCTTAGCAGCAAATGACAGCAACGCGAGGTGTTTCTGCTTCATTCTCTGGGTCCCTGGCAGGGGAAGTTACAGCCAATCCACCGGGCCAGCTCAGCAGCACAGGGTGCGAGGGGACCCAGAAACAGTCACCATCAACAGAAAGCCAACCCCGGCCTGGGGTCCCCATCGCCAATAAGTCTGGGTTATTAGTCTGCAGGAAAAATGCTGAGAGCAGCCCAGGACTCAGGAAACTCCTGTGCCAACCAGGAGGTGCACAGGCGAAGCAGGGCCTCATGAGGAACGGGCTTCAGTGACAAGCGGCTGTACCCTCCCTGCCAAGTGCCCGGCGCCCTGCCCGCCAGCGCTGACCATTCACCCGCAGTGGGTGCTGGACCAGGCGCCCAGCCTGGGAAGCGGCAGCCCCTCCCGGACCGTCTGTCCCAAGGCCATGGCCCCTGACTGAGAGCTCCAGGGACAATAGGGAGGCCTGAGCTGGCGAGCGGGCATGTTTTGGGGACACAACGACGCAGTGACGTGAGAGCACTGCTGGGACGGAGACCCGAGTTAATGTTGCAGAGCCTTGGTTGTTTAAACAAGCCTGAAGTGGATCTATTTCCCAGCGGCAGCGTTACTCACTGTGAACCAAAAGAACTTTTCTGCCTCTTTACACATCTGGGTTTCCGAAGCGGCCGGCCTCTCTTCTGGGTACAAACTCCCCCTCCGCAGGGAGGAGCGCAAAGGTGGGGCCTGTGGGGACACCCGGGTCATGAGCCCCGTGGGGCCCATGCCAAGGTCCTTCCCAGCAGCCTTGGGGCAGGGTTCAGGGCTGCACTCTTCCAACTCTCAAGGGGCACAGAGGGTCTCTGCAGAGGGAGGGGGACTTACAGACTGGCCCACTGAGTCACACGGCCCGGGTCTCGGCTTCAATCTTCTGCTCCCCGTGTAAGCTGTCTGAGTCCTGGGGCTGGGCCACACTCTGTCGGATGGCGATCTCGGGGCCGCCGCCGTACAGGCTGTTCAGGTACACCCAGGTCTCCTCTGAAATCTGCCCGTAGTCAGCGCCTGCGGGCCCCGGAGGCTGCCCATCAGGCTGGGATTGCCCTTGCCCCTCACCGAAGCCACCGTCCTGGCCATGGGGCCTCCGGGAGAGTCAGGCCCCAATGGGGAGGGACGGCAGGCAAAGCTCTAAGCGGGAATCTCGGGATTTTCCAGTGGAACGTTCATCCTCTGAGGACCCCAGAGGGCTGTAGCCTCTTGTTTCCCAGGGGGTGAGGGTCACACGAAAGGGCAGGCAGGTGAGGCAGAAGAGCAGGGAGAGGGCCTGGTAGGGGAAGAGGGGCCAGAGGACCCACACAGAGGCCAAGCACCTCGGCCACCTGCTCGAGCCCTGGGCCTGGACTCGGATGGACGTCGCAGCCTGACTCAGGGGGCACGGGGGCTCCTGGAAGGACCTAGAAGCCAGCAGGGGCAGAGGGGAGCCAGGCTGGCTTGGGAGGCCAGGACTACAACTGGCGTGACTCACCCGGCTTCAGCTGGATGTGGCCGCTTCCTTTGACCTGTGCGATCTTGCTGTTGTCAATGGGCCCAGGGGGCTCTGGAACAGACATGGGTCGGGCTCAGGGCTGCTGGGCCTCTGCAGCAGCGAGAGGAGACCCCAGGCCCAGCCTCGGCCACGGCTCTCCCCTCAACAGATAAGAGTCATCTCAAGGTGCGACTCTGACACCCGTGATCCCCAAGAGGCCGTCCTGGACCCCCGGGGTCACAGTGAAGTTCTCAAAGGTGGGGTGCTTCGGGCACCAGATGCGCCTCTACACAAGTCTGAGAGCCAGAAGGGGCTCGCGGAGCCCTGCACCCAGCAGAGGGAATTTCAAGGGCTCACACGCCACTTTCAGACCTAGCTTGTGGGACATCCAGTGCCAGGTGGATGCTGCCCTAATCTGATGGCAGCCGTCGCTGGCCAAGCACCCTTCCCATGTGCCCCACCAGCTCATGTCACCCTCAGCAACTGTGTGAGATGAGGCAGGTGAAGTAAGCGCCCAGGTCAGGGCTGGCAGGAGGCAGGGCCAGGGCCAGGGCACGGCTGTGGCTCCAGAGCCAGGTTCTTAGTCAACCACCCGCAGCCACAGGGAGGCGCACGGTGTGGATGGCCGTGAGGCCCCTCCTCCTTCCTGAGTTCTGGCCAGTGCTTATGCTCCAAAAGGCACATGCCCAGTGCCCAGAACCTCCTGGCTCTGCCAACCCTGCCCGGCCCCAAACCCTGGTCTGAAGTCAAGTGTGGGGCCCGGGGGTGGTGAGGTGGCTGCACGCAGGCCAGGGCTCGGGCTCTGCCATTCCTGGCCGGGGTGTGGGGGACTCTGGGAGTGGCCCTGTGATGGCGCCTGTTTCCACCCCTGTAAGTCGAGGGTTGGAGAACATGGTGTCCAAGTCCTTTCTGAAGCCATCTATCAACTAAAATCTATTATTCAAGGCAATAGAATCCCCAAAGGAAAGGGCCTGCCAGGAGGGAGAGCAGGTGCCCCTGGGCATCTGCAGGGAGAGGGGAAGGGAGGGGACAGGCAGAGCGAGATGGCTTGTCCTGTTGCAGCGAGACGTCCTGGTCGGGGTGGGGACAGTGATCCCAAGACGGGGTTGAAGATTAGTACCCCTGTTCTCTGCTCCTGCTGAAAGGCCGCTCAGGGGTGGCGCAGACCCTGGGCGCCCTGGGAGTCAGGAGCCATGGCCCGGCATCCACCTCCTGGGACACGCCCAGCAGGTGGGCAGCCCGAGTCCCTCCTGGTTGGGGGAGTGTCAGGCACCTGCCAGGGCCCCCGAGTGACTCACCATTGTCCTTCCCCTTGACAAAGGCCTCCCACTCCCGGAACCACTGCATGCTGATGCAGTAGATGACGCTGGGTGACTCCTCCGCCTGGAACGCCTTGTTCAGCTGGGTGGGGCGGGGCCGGGCCAAGCGGGAGCAGAGGGAAGGGTCAGCGTGAATATCCAACACCCCACAGATCTCCACCCCAGACTCTTAGAAAACTCAGAAAATTCAGGACTCCCAAACAGTTCAAAGAAGTTGAACATCTTCCACAATCCCACCATTCAGATAGCTACCAGGAACATTTTGGTGAACCTCTTGTCAATAACTTTTTAAAAACCCAATGGACATAAGACAGTAGATTCTGTTTCTGCCCAACAGAAAGCGTCCACTGGCTCACGCGTTAACTATTGTGACAGATCACTGTTTAATGGCCACAGAGCAGGGCGTTTAATGCCTGTCACCCAGTCCTCTCCTGCTGAATGATGCAGGGTCCCTGAGTCTGCCTGTTCTGAGCGGCTCCAGGGACCGCAGTCTCTACAAACACCTGCATCCACAGCAGAAGGCCCTTTCCTGTGTGGGATCACGCTGCGCCCTGTCTTGCAACTTGCTTTTTTCACTTTATGCATCTTTCCCTGTCAGTTTGTAGAGCCCACTGGTTCCCCAAAGAGGGGCTCTGCCCCCCAGGGGACATCTGCCTGTGTCACTGGCATCGAGTGGGCAGAGGTCAGGGATGCAGCTACACATCCCACGACACACAGGACAGGCCCCCTGCAATGAAGACTCACCCAGCCCCAAAGGCAGTGCCTATTCCTTAAATGGCTGCTTAATCGCCCACCAAGCAGAGGGACCTGAACTTACTAAGCCCAACCCCTTCTGCCAGTGAAAATCTTAAATGTCTGGCCAGGCCTCTGGCTACTCTGGCCTGGCTGCATACAGCTCTTCCGTCCCCAGGGCCCGCTCCCCCATGCACCTGCCCACCGCGCTCTGCATGTACCTTAATGAAGGTGTCGATCTCAATCCGCCTGCGCTTGGCCAGCGCCTCAATCTCCACCTGGCAGATGGAGCACACGTACAGATGGTTCACGGCAGGGCCACCCCCAAACCTGCACCCAGGGTTGGGGGGAGAGAGAAAGAGAAAGAGAAAGACGAGCCTTGAGTTGGGAAGTTCTGGGGCGGGAGGCGGTGGGACTTGCCAGAGAGCGAGGCTTCCTGAGGCAGCCCTGGCCCACCCACTGGGCTCCTTCAGAGCTCTACACTCTGTCTGTTTACTTGTCCGGAAGACGCCAGGCTCCCTGCACGTCCGAGAGCCGGCAGCACCGGGCAGAGCGCCGGCACCAGGGCCGGCGCATCACAGCATCTGCTCACTGGCCAAAGGACACAGCGACACTCTTGCTGCCTCTCTTGGCTACTGGGCAGGAGCTGTGGTGGCCAAAGCCCACCTGGCCTGACTCTGAGGACAACACCGAATGGAGGCTGCAGGTCCTTCTGCAGGTAGGAGTGGGGTCCCCACAGGACCCCGCCACCAGTCCCAGGGCGGGCTATGCCGGAGCTGCAAGTGGGTGGGGCCAGGCCAGCCCAACAAACCAGGGCAGCCGGGACTCCCGGCCTCTCTCCTTCCCCACCGCCTGACCACCCTCCCCGCTGCAGCCCATCCTGCCTGCCGTATGCAGAGTGACCCAGGCCTGGGTGGGGTCTCTCTCCTCAACAAGAGAACCACATGCTAGTGGTCCTGACAAACTTGAACCTGAGGGCGCCAGGCAGCCCAAGCCCACGACCACCCGAGCCGGGCAGGGAGCAGCCAGCACCCCCACGACCGGCTGTGAGAGGGGCCGATATGCTTGCTGTTGCCTGAGCCAGGTTTCCATCCCACGTGACTGGGAGGGTCCGGCTGGATGCCCACAAAGGCATGTGTCTTTTTCAGTATCTTTTTCAGGCGGTGGGGAAGGAGAGAGGCCGGGAGCCCCAGCTGCCCTGGCTCGTTGGGCTGGCCTGACCCCACCCATTTGCGGCTCAGGCATAGCCTGTCCTGGGGGCTGGTGGCGGGGTCGGAGCCGCAGATCCTGTGGGGACCCCACTCCTACCTGCAGAAGGACCCGCAGCCTCCATTCGGTGGGGGCCCCGCAACTGCTTTGGTGCTGACCTGCTGCCTGAGTGGGGGCGGCATGGGGTCAAGGTGACATTCCCCCTCTGGGCCTGCTCTCCTGCCCAGCTGAGTGCCCGGCCTGGACCAGGCCAGCCCAGCCTCCCCTCACCTGTTGTAGAGGTGCTCCCACACGTTCTGGGGCAGGATCACCACCAGGTCATCAATGTAGTGGTATTTGTTGGGCGGGATGCCTGCAGAGGAAGGCACAGGGAGGGAGAGCTGGAGGCTCGGCCTGCCCACCCCACGCCCTGCCCAACCCGCACCCCACCACAGGGAAGGCGGCCTCACCTCCATGGGCGCAGAGGAAGGTGTGGTTGGTGATGGGCCCCGGCTCGGCGAAGGTGTTGAACTTGTTGAGCCATTCCCGGGACACGTAGAACCGCAGCAGGCTGGGCTCCCGCATGGCCGCGAGGGACACCACCTGCTGCCGCTCCCGCATGGCCTCCTCGCTGCTCTTTCTGGGGCAGCAGGGTAGGATTAGGAGGGGCTGGGCCTGGGCCACGCCCTGGGCAGGAAGGTCCCAGCCCCAAACCCCTCGGCATCCTCCATCTGCACCCCAGCAGCCCCACCACCCCTGCCTGAGTTCTAGCCGCCATCACCTTCCACCAGGACCACTAGAGAAAACCCACATCCTGGGTTTCCTGCTTTCCCTACAGCAGCCACAGGGCTCTTTCTTAAAAGCCCAAATCCTTATCCCTCCCTAGCCTAAAGCCCTTTTAGGCTCCACCACCCCCACATGCACCCGAGAAGCCCTGGGGAGCAGATGCAGGGTGTCCAGGCCTGCAGGCGGCCAGGCGGGGGCCCAGGCACTGTCCTCCGCCGGCCCCAACTTGCTGCCCGGGGCCACACCTGTAGAAGAGCACGTAGGCCTCGGCATTCTGCACCACTGTCTCGTGGACCTCGGTGACATACTGGTCATCAAACTCATACCACTGCCCGTTGATCACGTTCTGGCAGTAGGCGATGTAGTGGCCACCTGCGGCAGGAGAGGCAGGCAGGTGACAGATACCCTAGGGATGGGGACAGGGACGTGGCAGGGTGGCGGGACTCACTGCCTGCCGTGCCATGGTGGCAGATGACCGAGAGGAGGTCGTAGGTGGTGATCTGGGACGTGCACTCCTTGGCGAGGAAGGGGCGCAGGTCAAGTCCCTCGAGGGGGAAGGAGACGTGGCTGCTGATCTTGAATGAGTACATCACCTCGTGTCGAAAGCGCTTCAGGTGAATGCACAGGATCTGGGTGGAGAGAGAGGAGGGGTCGGTCACTCCAGGGCTGGCGAGGGCCCTGTGACCCTGGTAACCTGACGGGGTTCTCAAGGTGGGGCTCCAGGACACCCACTGGCCCACTGTTTGTCCCACTCGGGTCCTGTCATCCAGGTGAGGACAAGAAACTAGCAGCTAGAGCCTTCCAGAGGCCCAGGCCAGCCGATGGCCTGGCACTTGACTCCATTTGAACACATCAAAGGACTGTGCATGGGGGCCGGGTCAGGTCAGCTCCTTCCCCGGATGAAGGGGGAAGGTGACTGAGCTGCACTAGCGGGATGGGCCTGTAGCAGAGGTGTCTCCACAAAGGCTCCCCACAGCTGCTCAGCACTGTCTGGCCCCACGTCTTGGGCCACGCTCCTCTTGTTCCAGCCACAAGCCTCAGCCAAGCCCATTCCTGCTTTGGTGTTTTGCACACCTGTTCCCTTCCCACTCTCCCTCCGCCAGGCCGACACCAGCCTGCGTCCTCTGGGCTCACTTGGACGCTACTTCCTCAGAAAGGCCTGCCTTCCCAACAGCCCCGCAGCTGCCTCACTCCACACGGTGCCCTCAGCACCCCCACACCTGCCTCCTGCCTTCATGAAACGTGCTGAGGGAGGAGAGAGCTGGGCGCCAAGTTACAAGCTGAACAATGAGCTTCCCCGCCTGCCAGCCCCTCCCAGGGCATCTCCCAGACAGAGCAGCAGTCTCCACGGGCCTCCTGAGTCCAGGAGGGGACTGGCCTCGGCCCTGCACGCCACCGCGCAGGTGTGGAGAAGGCCCTGCGGGCAGAGGCGACAGGCAGCTGTCCCACTCACCTCGGGCAACCGCAGGACCTTACAGTACTTCACCCCATTCCGCAGCCTGGGAGGAGAGAGCAGCGAGAGACGTGAGTGTCCCAGGGAGGGGGCCAAGAGACAGAGGAGCACCCCTCCCACCCTGGTCGCTCTGAGGTCAGGATCAAGCTCTCTCGGGGAGCCCGGGGGGAGTATGTGGAGCACAGATGGACCACAGATGGAAAACGGAAGTCTGGGAGAAGCTCCCAGAATGCACATACTTACTTTTTACACCGTTCACAGCTGTACATGTTGTCACCTAGGGCAGGCAAATAAAGAGACAAAGGTGATCAGGGATGGGAAGTGGGGGAAAAGTGCACGTAGTGACTTATGCTTTGGAAATAAAACCACAACATGCTGCCTACAAGAGACTCACTTTAGCTTCAAGAACACACAGAGGCTGAAAGCAAAGGGATGGGCAAAGCTACTCCACGCAGTGGTAACCAAAAGAGAGCAGGAATGGCTGTATTTACATCAGGTATGGTACACTTGCAGCCAAAATCAGTTATAAGAGACAAAGGGGGTCACTATATAGTGATAAAGTGTTCAGTTCATCAAGAGGATGTAACTTTTGTAAACATACATGCACCCGACATTGGAGCACCTGCATACTTGAAGCAACAATAGTAGGGGATCTCAATACTCCACTTCTGATATTAGACAGATCATCCAGACAAAAAATTAATAAGGGAACAACAGATCTGAATAATACCATAGCCCAAATGGACCTAACAGACACAAACAGACCGCTCCATCTAACAGCACAGAACACGTGTTCTTCACAAGTGCACACTGACATTCTCCAGAACAGACCACACATTGGGCCACAAAGCAAGTCTTAACAAATTTAACAAGACTGAAATCATATCTTGTGTCTCTTCCAACCATGATGGTATGAAACTAGAAACCAGTAACAGGAGGAAAACTAAAAAATTCGCAAATATGTGGAAATTCCTGACCAACAGAGGGATCAAAGAAGAAACCAAAAGGAAACCAGTGCTTGCTTTGGCAGCATATATACTAAAACTGGAACAATACAGAGAAGATTAGCATGGCCCCTGCACAAGAATGACATGCAAATTCATGAAGCATTCCATGTTTCTGAAAAGTAGTACCTTTTAAAAAATATATGTAAAACCAAATCACCATGCTGTACACCAGAAATGAACACAACACTGTATATCAACTATACTTCAATAAAAATAAATTTTTAAAAAAGGAAATCAGATTATTTTTTTCTGTTATCTCACATCCATCTTCAGTTTCTTTCATCAGTGTCTTACAGTTTTCGGTGTATAAATCTTTCACTTCCTTGGTTAAGTTTATTCCTAGCTGTTTTATTGCTTTTGGTGTTGTTGTAAATGGATTGTTTATTTCTCATTTAGATGTTTCATTTTTAGTGTATAGAAATGCAACTGGTTTTTGTACATTGATTTCATATCCTGCAACTTTACTGAATTTGTTTATTAGTGCTAACAGTTTGTGGAGTCTCAAGGTTTTTTTATGTAAGAGATCATGTTATCTACAAACAGATAATTTTACCTCCTCTTTTCCTATTTGGATACCTTTTATTTATTTTTCTTGCTTTTCTCTGATTAAGACTTCCTGTACTATTCCCTAAGTGATAAGGGCACTAGGAATATCTTTTGTTCTAATATTTAGTCTTTGACCCTGGCTTCTAATACAGAGCTCCTGAATCCCCTGTCATTTCCCAGATGATGGCAGGGTCTTTTGTTCTCATGAGACGACTCCAGGTGGGCTTCTAGATCAGGGCTGGCCACCAGAATGACCAAGCCATAATTGGAAGTCTGGAATTTTCAGCCCTACCTTGCATTCTTCACAGAGGAGAGAGGGGCTAGAGACGGAGTTAACAACTGATCATTGTTAACTAGTTAAGGAGGCCTCTATAAAAATACCAACAGGATGGGGTTTGGAGAGCTTCCAGGTTGGTGAGCACGTGGAGGATCAGGGAGACCGTCGCTCTCAGAGAACATGGAAGCTCCATGCCCCTTCCCACATACCTTGCCCCACGCACCTCTTCCATCTGGCTGTTCCTGAGTTATACCCTTTTCTAACACACCAGTAAGCTAGTAAGTAAAACGTTTCTCTGAGTCACTCTAGCTGCTCTAATTGAACCCAAGGAAGGAGTTGTTGGAACCTTCCATCTGTAGCCAGTCAGTCAGAAGCTTAGCTAAAGTTGGGGAGGGAGAAGTCTTGGAAGACTGAGTCCTTAACCAATGGGATCTGATGCTCTTTCCAGGTAGATAGGGTCTGAATTGAGTTAAATCGTAGGATAGTGGCTGGTGTCGCATAATTGCTTGGTGTGGGAAAACCCCCACACATCTGGTGTCAAAAGCGCTGTGGGGTAGTTGTGTGACAGTAGAGGAAAGACACACAGGAGGAAGACTGAATTGTTCCCACCCAGTGTCACAAGTAAACGGGAAGACAGCCTGTGGTCATGAATCAGAAGAATAAATATTGTTAAAATGTCCATACATTAAATATCCAAAGCCATCTATAGATTCAATGCAATCCAATAACATTTTCATAGATGTAGGAAAAAAGTTCTAAAATTCATACTGAACTACAAAAGATCCCAAATAGCCAAAGCAATCTTGAGCAAGAAGAACAAGCTGGAGGCATCATATTTCCTGATTTCAAACTCTACTACAAAACTTCAGTAAAAACAGTATAAAACAGTATAAAAACAGACACACAGACCAATGAACAGAATTGAGAGGCCAGAGATAAACCCACGTGTATATAGTCAACTAATATGTGATAAGGGAGCCAAGAATACTCAGTGGGGACACGATGGTCTTTTCTATCAAGTAGGTTGGAAAACTGGATATTCACATGCAAAAAAATGAAACTGTACCCCTATTTTATGCCACTCACAAAAATTAGCATGAAATTAATTAAAGACTTAAATGTGAGACCTGACACCATAATACTCCTAGAAGAAAACATAGGGGAAAGGCTCTTTGACATTGGTCTCAGCGATGATTTTTTGGATATGACACCAAGACAAGCAACAAAAGCAAAAATAAACAGAAATGCATCAAACTAAAAAACTTCTGCATAGCGAAAGAAACAATCAACAAAATGAAGAGACAACCTACAGGACGGGAGAAAATAGAAACCATGTATCAGGTGAGGGGTTAGCATCCAAAATAGGTAAAGAATTCATACAAGTCAGTAGCAAAACACAAGTCATCCAATTTAAAAATACGCAGAGGACCTAAATAGACATTTTTCCAAAGAAGACACACAGATGGCCAACAGGTCCATGAAAATATGCTCAATCACCAGGGAAATGCAGATCAAGAGCAGAGTGAGGTATCGCCTCACGCCTGTTAGAATAGCTAGTATCAAAAAGAGATTTTTTAAAAAGACAAGAGAATACAAGTGGGTTTTTCTTCTAATTTTGTTTTTTGTTGTTATTTTGTTTTGGTGGGGGGAGGTAATTAGCTTTATTTATTTGTTTGTTTGTTTGTTTATTTAATGTAGGTACTGGGGATTAAACCCAGAACCTTGTGCGTGCTAAGTACGTGCTCTACCACTGAGCTGTACCCTTCCCCCCAGGAGAATAAAAGTGTCGTCAAGGATGTAGAGATTAGTGGGAATGTAACTGTAAATGTAATTTGGTATAGTTATGGAAAATGGTGTGGAGGATTCCTCAAAAAGTTAAGAACAGAATTGTCATATAGCCCAGCAACCCCACTTCTTGGTATACACCAAGGGAGATGAAATCCCTATTTCTAAGAGATATCTGCATGTTCACACTCATCACAGCATTACTCACAAGGGTCAAAAGGTGGAAGCAACCCAAGTGTCCACTGACAGATGATGAATAAACAAAATGTGGTCCCTCCGTGCAACAGAATACTACTCAGCCTTTAAAAAGGAAGGGATTCTGACATACGCTGTAATATGGATGAACATTGAGGACATTATACTAAGAGGTACAATAAACCAGTCACAAAAGGACAAAGACTGTATGATTCAACTTAGATGAGGTATCTAGCGTAGTCAAATTCATAGAGACAGAAAGTAGAACGGTGGTGGCCCGGGGCTGGGTGGAAGGGGGAATAGGGAGTTACTATTTAAGGTACAGAGAGTTTCAGTTCTGCAAGACGAAAATGCTCTGGAGACTGGCCGCACAGCAATATGAATATAGTTACTACTACTGAACAGTGAAGATGGTTAAGAGGGTTCATTTTACATTATGGATATTTTACCACAATTAAAAATTAAACAAGAAGAGTTTCCCCAAAAGTTAATGAGATGCCAAACACTCAACAGAAAAATAGAAAAAGGACAGGAATGGGAAATTTCAAAATAGGAAATACAGTCAATACACACACACAGACACACAGACACACAGACACACACAGGTTCAAGCTCATTAATAATCAAGGAAATGCAAAATTAAAGAAAAACAGGTGAAGCCCTAAGAGTTACAAGGTGGTGGGGCTGTGAGAGCATGCGGGTCTCAGGCCCAGCCTGGCAGGCAGGAGGGGCAGGATACTGACAGTGCGTCCCAGAAACCCTGAACTATATGCTGAGCCAGCAGCCCCGCCGCGGCCAGCCCAGGCCACTCACCCTTCAGCTCATCAGCAGCAAAGAAGGCAGCGAGGCAGTCTTCCAGGGTGACGACTGGCCCCCAAAACCAGCTGGGGGTACAGGATACCACGAACCTACAGAGAAAGAAGAGGGGTGGGGGGGTGCATGCTGCTAGGGCCTGGGCAAGAGTGAGACTTGAGGGCCTTTGTGCTGAGGTCTGTTTGGGCCCAGAGAGGCAGCTCGGCCTGGGGGATGGAATGGGCCAAAGTCTGGAGCCAGAAACCAGGGACCACCAGCCAGCAGCTCTGTGTCCTTGGAGAGTGACATCGCCTCTCCCTGGGCCTCATCTTCCTCATCTGCAAAGGGGCCCCAGTTGCACTGGTCTGTGCCCTGGGCAGAGTACAGGTTCCCGACACCAGGCAGGTAGGGCAGGCACTGTGGCACACAGTGGAGACTCCGGAAAGCCTCCCATGCCTCTCCCCGCAGGGCCAGGCCCACCCTCCTTTCTGCCTGCCACTTGGTCACACTCCCCATCATCACCTGCCTTCCAATCCACAGGCCTACCCAAACCAGGCCATCCCACCCCTTGAGCTAACTTCCGAGCACCCTTCAGCCACAAGCTCTCTTCCAAACTACGACTTCATCTCTGCAAACGCTTGTATTTCGTTGTTAAAGTCTATCGCTTGTAGGGCTGAGTCCTAGGAAGGCCGGGCGGGATGGTGGGTGTACCGTCGGATATACTCCACGATAAAGGCAAGCCAGCCCTGGGCGGCGTAGGTGTCCCCACAGGTGCCTGGCTTGGCCGGCACGTTCTGGTAGATGGCCGAATGGAGCTTGGCCAGGTCCTCCTTGCCAGGAATGGGCAGCGAAAGGTCCTGGAACGTCTCCACTGTGGTGGACACCTGGTGGGGAGCGGCTGAATGTTGGCCCAGGTCTCCATCTTCCGGGGTTCCACCTAGCCCAAACCAAGCAGTCTGCACCCCAAACCCCAGTCACCAGACAGCAGGTGTGGGGCAGAGAGTCTGCTCCCCAAGCCCTGGATGCGGGAGCCCCACGACTCACGCCCACCCCCAGAGAAAGGCCGGGGGCACCAGGCAGAGAACCAGCGCCTCAGCCCCAAGCTGAGTGACGAGCCCTGGGGCATTCCTCCCCACCCCCAGAGCACCCACCCGGTCACAGGTGAGACACTGCACGAGGCTGAGGATGGAGCCGTCGAAGATGTCTGAGATGACGCTGCGGTAGCGCTGCTCCTTCCGTCTGCGGCTGCCGGCGCTCGGTACCTGGGCTGGGGGCACAGCACTGGACTAGGCCCCGCCCCACCGGCCTGTCTGGGGCAAGGGGCGGGTGCTGGGGCTCGCTCGGCCGGCAGCGGGGTCAATCTGAGTGACTGGCTATCACTTCACCTCCTGGTGCCTCAGTCACTGTGTCCCAGCCGTGTGAGGAGGGTCCAGAGACCCTGCGCGAGGAGTGCGTGCCGCAGCCCCTGGCAACGAGCGCGCAGACGGCAGCGAGGGGCGCGATTTCCACCCCCTGCCCCGAGCTCCGCGAGCCCCAGAGCCTTCGAGGGGCAGCCCTGCTGACCCTCCCTCCCCGCCCGTCCCTCCGAACCTTTCTTGAGCACGTAGGACGGCCCCATCCTGACGGGGCTCGCGCGTGGAGGGCTGCTGGGCAGCTTGGCGTGGCCCTCGTGGTGGTGGACGGGGCTGCAGGGACGAGAGGCGCTGCGCATGTGGGCCTCGTTGTCCGGCTCTGGGGGCAGAGGGGGACCGTGCTAGCCCGCTCCAGGCCGGGTCGGAAGACCTGCTAGCGCCTCCTCGCGGGACCGAGGCCTGCACCCTCCACGGCTCCTCTGTCCTGTGCCCACCCCAGTCCCCCAGCCCCCAGCATCAGGAAGAGGGTGCTGTCCACACACGTCACGTTCCCAGCGGAGGGTTTGGAGCTCAGGGCCGGTCTGAATCTCGCTCCTTGTTGGCCAAGTGAGTCTGGATACGTTATTTACCCGATTTCTCATCCGGAAATCGGGTCTACTAGGAGAGTCCCCCAGGTGGGGAACTGAGCAGTCTACTGCCCAGTGGTGCTTTGCCCACAGCAGCTGCTGCTGGACAGGCGGGGCCGTGGCGGCCCGCTCGGCCGGCT